AAAGGTGATTTTTAATCCTCCTCACATGCAGTAACTCCATCCCTTCTTTCAGCYTTGCAATGGTTAAAATGAGTGATCCTGGATGCTCTGGCCCTGGAAATCCACCTCCTATGCTCTTCCTAGCAGGAGGGAAGCAGGGAAAGGAGAAAGGGCTGAAATCTCTGAGTAATTCCAGAGCCTCTGCTCARTTCCTGGGACCCCAGGCTSCCCAGGGAATGGGAACAGCCCCGAGGAGCTCCAGGAGATGCTCAGGGTGGGATTTTGGGGTGYCTGTGCAGCACCAGGAGCTGGGCTGGAYGATCCTGGGGGTCCCTTCCACCTCAGGATATTCCATGACCCATCCAGACMTGATCTCCATCCCTTCCATCCCCTCCCAGGACATCCTGACCCCACTTTCCTGTGCTGTGACCCCAAACTCAGCGTACCCAACACATTTTCATTCCCTTCACCCCGCARGACAAAACCTCTCATCAAACCTAACACTGTTTCCTGCAGGCCATAAATATGATTAAGTCAGGGTTGTTTTTTTTCCCCCCCTGCTATTCTTTCCTGTGTAACATCAGCTAAAAACATCAGGGGTGAACAGAAGAGAATTTCCAGAAGGTTTTGGCAAACGCTCTGCACACAGCAGCGAGTCTGGAGGAGCCTCTGAAAGTGGAGTGACCCCACAGCTCTGAGACAAGGCTTGCTCTGTCACAGCAGTGACTTCAAAAWCTTATTTATTTTAGTCCAAAAAATCATCCCTGGCATTCCTGGGACGCTGAGRGAGAGCAGGAGCAGCAGGACTCAACTGAGTATTCCTCATTCTCGGAGGGAAGGAGGGATCAGCGTGGTCAGGAGGAGACAAAACCCCTCCTTTCCTCCCCCCCAGATGACAGGAGCCRCTCTCTGCCTGGAATTGCTTCCAGATGTGGCTCTGGGGCTGAGCACGAGCCCTGGGCTGGATGGAAATGGGGATTTTGCATTCCTGCCTCGTCCCTCCCCCTCCAACGGGGCTGCCCTGGAAATGCAACCRCAGCCCCGGAGCTTTGGGCTGCGAGTGACCCCTGGGTCTGACAGAGCTCCAGACGGGCTGAAAGAAATGGCAAAAACAGCAGGGAGAAAGAAAAAAAAAAGGGAAAAAAAAAAAAGCACCAAAAAGAGATTGATTTTGGCAGCAGAACATCCAAGAAAATCCCTGCCCTTGGAGATAAGAGAGAGGTTTGAGAGTGAGCAGTTCCTTTCCTTTGGTTTGATGAATCTCCATCAGCTTGGACAACACCTCCAGAGGTCTCCTGCACCCTCTGCTCTGTATTTCCATGCTCCTGGGCTGTTTGCTTCACCTCTCTCCTCACTGAGAGCTATTTGGGTTGTATTTGCTGCTGCACTATGAGATTCTGTCAAATGTAACTCATTCCAGCTTTAGCAGAGGAGAAATCCCTTCCTCTGTTGCTGCGTTTHTTATCGGATATTCTTATTTATTATCTCATTTCAAGGTGGTAAATTGGTTTGCAATCCTAATTAGATTCCACCTACTAAAAAAAATCAACAAAAAGATTTATTTTGGGCAGCCACCAAAGCAGAATATCCAAGAAAATCCCTGCACAGGGGGAGATAAGCGAGTGAGGTTTGAGAAGTGAACCTTTGGGAAGATCTCTGACTCTCCAGAGACCTCAGAGCCATCTCTGCCTCCATGAAATGCATTTTGGAAAGGGTCAGAGGCTGAGATCCCAAATCAATCCCAAATCAATCCCAAATCAATCCCAAATCAATCCCTGCAGCAGCACCCACCCATCGCTCTCCCAGGCTGTCCCTCGTACCAGTAATCCTCTGTGCTTCCACCTCTGCTGTAGACTGGGCCCTCCAGCTCCCTGGGGCCTGGGAAGATGTTCTCGTGCTGGATGATGATGGTTTTGATCAATTCGTTGACATGAGCCTGGCAGGACACCTGGTCGTGGCCCTCGGGCACGGACATGAGCGTGGGMCCRAAGCAGATGGCCAAATTGTAGGGGTCCATCATGTTCTCTTCACTGAACTGAGATAAACTGCAGAAAATACAGGTGGGAAGGAGGGTGAAGAGCAGAAAACATCATCATTATTATCATCATCATCTTTATCATCATCATCATCATCATCATCATCCTCATCTTTATC